TTATACCTTAAATCAGAAGTTGCTGTTTTTTTTGTTTGTTTGTTTGTTTTTTACAGCATTTTCTGCTTGAGGGTTTTAGTGAACTGATAACCCCTAAGGACATTTACTTATTTTAAACTGACTGTGACAGAAATTGATTTAATACTTTTTTTTTTTAAGATTTTATTTATTTATTTGACAGAGAGAGACACAGCGAGAGAGGGAACACAGCAGGGGGAGTGGGAGAGGGAGAAACAGGCTTCTGCTGAGCAGGGAGCCCAACGCAGGGCTCGATCCCAGGACCCTCTGGGATCATGACCTGAGCCGAAGGCAGACGCTTAATGACTGAGCCACCCAGGCGCCCCTGATTTAATACTTTTAAAGAATTGAATTCTAAAGGACCTTGTAGACCACTTTGTTATGCCTTTCATTTTACAGATAAAACTGTTAAGAGTATTAAAACTCTAATTATGTAATAAAGTTAGAAATACAGTCTTCTACTCATCTGTTCTGCTCTTTAAATATTTATGCTATTCTGTTAGGCAGCCATTAAAATGATAATTATTAAGACTGTGTAGAAACATGGAAAACTTTTATACAAATGAAAAAAAGCAGCCTGCCAAATGACCTAAATATCATAATTGCAACCAGTATGTCAATTTTGTGTACATATTGAGGCCTGGAGCATAATAGACAAAAACACTATGTGTGTTGTGGGTGTTTCTCTTTTAATATTCCTGAATGTGGCTGCATTATATCAAAATAAACTTCTTTTCTAAAAATATTAAGGCTACCATAGAAAGAATGTGGAAACAAAGGGATGGTGCTTATGTTGGTAGCTACCTAAATTTGTGGCCTGCATTTGCAGACTTTCCCAGACACCTTCTGGCAGTGGGAATGTGTGTGATAAGGTTGTATCATTCTAAGCTCCTGGAACTCTTCCCTTGTTTACCTGCCCCTGGAAGTCTTCCTTTGTTCCCTTGTTTCTCGTCCTATTTTATGGAATCTACGGATCTGGCATGGTTGAAGAACGACTTCTATGTGGGTGGTAACTACTGTTATCTATCTCTACAGAAGGCAGAACATAAAAAAATTGGCTTAAGCTAACACTTCGTGGTTTAGATGACATTGGAAGAATATTTCGTCTCCAACATTGAATGAGTTACAAAGAATGACCGAGGGTGTTCCTTCTCTGGTTAGCTTTACAACTCAATAGATTGTCTACAATGAGGTCTGAGGAATGGAGAAGTACATTAGGGAGTCTCTCAAGACTCCCTTGGACTTGATTTTTCACTTTGACTCTAACTAAATGGCTTTTCCATGTGATAAGAAGCATAAAGGAGCTACCTAAACAGTTTAAGCAGTACACTGTTTCAGAGCCTAGCTCTGCCAAATACATTTCAATCATATATACCTGTTTACTGCAGTGGATGAAACTGGAGTCTTAGCCCAAGGCTGAGTTGGTGGGATAAATGTGAAGCTAGTGAATTTTAATATATTATATAAATGCCCTTCCTCATTGAGGGATTGGATCCTACTTTCTAAAATATTTGGGTTTCTCTGAATGATGATTTTGCTAAATGGTAGATGGTATTTATTAGCTCAAATAATTTATTACACTTTTATTTCATTGTGCTTTTTCTGTTAAAGTGTTGAGATGTGGGGCGCCTGGGTGGCTCAGTCGTTAAGCGTCTGCCTTTGGCTCAGATCATGATCCCGGGGTCCTGGGATCAGGTCCCACATCGGGCTCCCTGCTGGGTGGGAGGCCTGCTTCTGCCTCTCCCTCTGCCCCTGCTTGTGTTCTCTCTCTTGCTGTGTCTCTCTCTGTCAAATAAATAAATAAAATCTTTAAAAAAAAAAAAAGTGTTGAGATGTTATGGCCATAGCAGTTCCATTTTAGGTTAAGAAAAGGGGAGGGGGGCTACTGTGAAAAGGAAAGTGAAAGAAGGGGCAGTGTGAACAAAGCAGAGGACACTATGTCAGATGTATAGGCAGTGCTTGCTGTTAAACCTTTGATAGTATAGTTAATTCAGTTTTCCACTCTGGTTTAAACAATTTATTTTATTCTCTCTTCCCAAAGAGACATCTTCCTGAATTATGTTTTTTGTTTTTTTTTTAAATTTTAATCCCACCAATCCTTTGCTCAGAAATGTCTGGTGAATCTCTCATGCCAATGGATTAAGATCTTATTCTACCAACATCCCTGACTTCCTACAGCCTAGTTTTATCCAGCCCTTGGAATCTTATGTCCCATCATTTTTCTTTTGAGTCACTCTTCCAAATTTGGAGACCCATTGTTCCCTATCCTCTGAGCATACCTCTACACTTTCCTGTCCCCAGGCATCCGATACTATGTTATTATCACACTTCTCCTCGTTCTAGCTCACTGTATTCTCCTTTCTCTATGGAATCCCACAGTATTTTTGTCTTTACTTTTGACTTGGCATTTATTTTTTTAAAGTTTTCAAAACTAAAACCATAATAGTAGCTACCATTTATAGTGTTTATGATATGCCAGGCACTGTTTTCAGTACTTTACATGAATTGATTCATTCAGTCCTCAACAACATTTCAAGATTGTTATCCTTCTTTTATAGGTAAGGAAATGGAGGCCCACAGGGACTAGGTAACTTGCCCAAGGTCATACAGCTAGTTAAGTGGCAGATCTGGAATTCTGTCCCAGGCTATCTAGATTCACACTCTGTGTTCTTGACCACAGCTCTAAGCTACCATTAATAAATTATCTTTTTAGATGTTTTATTGTCTTAAAGTTAACCTCTTTAAGTCAAAGACAAAGTCTCCTTGTTCTCTGCTTTGTGCCTGAAACAAGGAGTTGCTCTGTGAACGTCTGTTTATTGATATGACCTATTATTATTATTATATATTTTTAATTATTATTTTTTTAAAGATTTTTAATTTTAAGTAATCTCTATGCCCAACGTGGTGCTTGAACTCATAACCCTGAGATCAAGAGTCACATGTTCTACCAACTGAGCCAGCCAGGAGCCCTGATGTGACCTATTATTATCAGTGGTCAGTCAAGTTCTCAGGTTTTTCTAGGAGTTTTGGCTTTGTTGGTTTGACTTCATGATTTTATCCCGATACACTGACACTCTGTTCTCTAGTTACTGGTGTGAGATGGTCAATGTGGCTGCCAAGAATTCAAATCTGGGGCTTTTGTTACCTAAATGAGTGGTGCTCAGCAGTGGGTGACTACTAATGTGTGCGAAACCAAATCTCAAATTTTGCTCTGTGCTTTGAAGTAAGTATTTTAAGTTTGCGTGTTTGTTTTCTTCAGCACTATTTTTATTACTTTTGGATTTTTGATATGTCAGATAAAATGAGAAAGAGCAACCTATACTTCACTTTCCTTGCAATATCAAATCCTAAAACCATACTTAATTTTATGCAGTTCCTCCTTGATTTCTTTGGAGAAGAAAAAGCTCTTCATGCAGGGAAGAGTGAAAGTTGGTTATCTTGAAGTTACTTTTAGCGAGTACCCTGCACGTATAACGTTAAGCTTTAAAATCGCATTATCTCTCCTGGTAAGGACAGATACATAGTCAAAAAAGCTGAAGTCTCATGTTGTTGGAGTTTATTTTTTGTGTTTCTTTTATCTGTTTCTAATGGCATACCACTTGATAAGAGGTACTCAAAGCCAGATGTTTCTAGTGCTCCAGTGGTTATATATGTGCCTGTGTGTTGGTTAGTGAAATAAACACTCTCTCTGGCTAATGTAATAAGAAAGTATTTGGAAGAATATTGAATAACTTGCAGAATCAAGGGGAAAATGTCAGCCTCAAGGATATCCGTAACAACTATGGAATCTTAGGGTGCCCAGGCAGGAGCATCTCTTAAGTTTTGGCCATTGAAATGCTCGGTTCTGTTTCCTGTCCATGCTCAGCTCAGGATTTGTGTTCTTTGGAAGGGAGTCAGATTTGCTCTTAGCTTAAGTCAGTCAGTTGCCCATTTCTTAGTTGGTGTGATTGATAGGCCATCAAAAGCACATGAAATGGGAAAGGAGTATTTCCAGTTACCGAAGAAGGGGAAACGGGAAACACCGACAGATGCCCACATCTAACAAGGTTCATCTCAAAGCAGAGAGAATTTAAATGATAGTTTTAACTTGGACAATGAGAGATTTGGACATTACCTGGATTAAATCACTAAGTTATTCTTCTAGGTGGAAAATCTTAGCAGTTTATTTCATTAAACAACAAGTGTTTTATGTTGAATTGCAAAAAAGTGATTTTTTCTGGTCACATTTTAAAAATATTTATTTTCATGTTTATTTAAATTTTTTTAAAAGATTTTTTATTTATTTATCAGAGAGAGAGAGAGAGCACAAGCAGGGGGAGCGGCAGGCAGAGGGAGAAGCAGATTCCCCACTGAGCAGGGAGCCCGATGTGGGGCTCGATCCCAGGACCCTGGGATCATGACCTGAGCCTAAGGCAGACGCTTAACCGACTGAGCCACCCAGGCGTTCCTAAATATTTTCATGTTTATTCTGTCTTCAAATATATACAAAAATATAATATGAACCCATAAGTAACCATTATCCAACTTCAAAAATTGTTAACATTTTGTCAATCTTGTTTTTGTTGATTGCATTTGAAAGAATTATCATAAGATGTTTTTACAACTAACTATATAAAAACTCACAAGATTTACTCTGAAGCCTGAGAAATGCTTTATGAACATAAATCCAAGCATCAAACAGTCAATCTCAAACCAAAAAGTATGTTGCCAGTTAGAACAAAAGATGACCCTGATTAATGCAGTGTTTATCAGGAAGTAAAATTTTATTTCAATCACAAAGGCTTTTTACTGGCTTAAGACTGGTGAATCAATGCCTCACTGACTCTTTCCAGATTACCTTTCCCAACTTTGTCTTCTGGTCCTTGGAATCTTTGGGGGTGAATCTGAGGTTTCATTTGACAGTAATTTTTCTGAACACCAGTCTGCATGTGTACTGTGTAACAGCTGAATGTGTTCTAATCTCTTTTGCAGTTGAAAGATGCATGAGTGTGATGCAGTCCGGGACACAGATGATCAAACTGAAACGTGGGACCAAAGGGCTAGTCCGGCTCTTTTACCTGGATGAGCATCGGACCCGCCTCCGATGGAGACCCTCTAGGAAGAGTGAGAAGGCAAAAAGTAAGACCAACCTTTGAATTCTTTGCTTGACTTGATATAGTAACACATAGGTTATATTTGCTGGGCTCTCTGGAAGTTTCAGATCTATGAAACTTTGATATTTTTGTAGTTTTGGGGTCAGTTGCTAAAGGATGCGGACAGACTGAATAAGTAATGACCATTTTTGCCTTTTTAATTCCTTGGGAATTTTAATCCATAAAAGTTTTCTTGTCCATGAATGCTGTACATGTTAACATTTCCCCTGTGGTGGAGACATGGTAACTGTTTTTAGTTGGGATATGAGGTTTTTAGCCTGAGGCTTTTTATTTATTTATTTTCTTGATAAAAGGTGAGGGTTATTATAAATCTAATGGGCCTAAAAGTGTATTGCCATATTCTGAGCACAGGTAACTGATTAGTGAGTTAACTTTTAATGAGATCAAGCAAAAGAACTTTGATCTGACCCCTACTTAAAGCCTCTCTCCCACACCTTGTACCTTCATCACCAAGTTGGTGTTGGGTCCTGTGTAATGGCTCTCTCATCTCCTTCCTTCCTGTTTTCTTAGGAACCTCCCTGGTCTAGGGTCTCTTCACCTATCTGGCCTATTGAAAAGTCTCCTAACCAGTCTCCATTTTGCTAGTTTCTCCTGCTTTTGTCTGTTATGATGCTTTCATCTTCAAATAGCAGAAGACTTTGACTAAGTTAGACTTACATGAAAAATAAATGTGTCATCTCACATAACAAGAAACTCAGAGATTGGCAGGTCCAGGTGTGGGACATTGAGTCTTTAGTTCTGTTTTCCTCGGGGCTCTTGGCTCTCTGCCTTGTGTGTTGGCCCTGTGGTCAAGGCAGCAGCAACATGGTGCTTCCTTTTTAGGAGAGAGGAACCCCTTTCCAGAATTTTCTCTCAAAGCAGACTGCCCCATGTCTCCTTGGTTAGAACTGAGATATATTCCCACACCTAAATCAATCATAAGAGATAGGAATGGGGCCACCCCAATGGCTTAGATGTACCAGAACCTGCCCTGGGTTGGGCCTCATTTCTTTGTGAATCATGTGGGGAATGAGTTGATACCAGAAGAAAATCATGACTTTGCCACGAAGGCAGAGTGGAGGAGAAGATGATGTATAGAGGCAATCAATGAGATTGCAACACTTCTGATTCACGCTTAAACACAAGCAAGCAAACAAATAAAAAAGTACTCTTCTAATCGAAGTAACCATCCCTACTAGTGCTGTTCTGATCCAAATCTGCAGTGTTGTTCCATTACCTAAATGATGCTCATCTCTGGTCTCTTATTCCAGGCTTTCTGTGATTCAGCCTCTACCTACCTTTCCAGCTTTATCTCCCACCACTCTCTCTCTTGAGCTCTCCAGTCTAGCATAAGTGGTCTATTTAACATCCCTGGAGTGGACCTCATGTTTCTGTATCTTATGCTTTTTCTTCTGGGATACCACCTTATTCCTCTCTACCTCTCTAAGCCCTGCTCGACCTTTACCATCCTGGCATTCTTTCTGGAGATGCCAATCACATTTAGCTGTGCTACTCAGTTACCACCAAATGTTTTTTTCCTTCTAATTTTTAACTCTTGTCTTACACGTAACTCCAAAGTTGGTTCTAGGTCTTTGTATGTTTTCCCTGTGCAAATATGTGAACTATAAATTTGATATATTCATAGTCTCCTTTTTACCAGTCTTTTTGCCCTGATGTGTGTATCGCTCTTCCTATCATAAATTTCAACATGTCCTGACTCAGTGCCTGGGAAGGCATTGTCCAGGCTGCCCAGGAAGGTAAAGTGGTATGTGGAGAAGGTTCCTAGCAGGAAATGATAGGGCTTGTATTTCACATTTGAACTTAATACCACAATTCACAGACAGTGAACTTGTTCATGCTTATTTTTTTTTTTAGATTTATTTATTTATTTGAGAGAGGGAGAGAGAGAGAGAGAGGGAGTGTGTGTGACTGTGGGAAGCAGCAGAGGGAGAGAATCTTCAAGCAGACTCCCTGCTAAGTGCGGAGCCCAATGCGGGGCTCGATCATATGACCCATGAGATCGTGACCTGAGCCGAGAGCAAGAGTCAGGTGCTCAACCGACCGAGCCACCCAGGCGTCCCTGTTCATGCTTATTTTTAGAATTTAAGATGATTTTGCCATTTTTTTCTAAATCCATTATACATATCTTCACCTGCCATGTAACTGTGTGTTTTACTTTCCTCACAGTACTTATTGACTCCATTTACAAAGTCACCGAAGGTCGGCAGTCGGAAATTTTCCACAGACAAGCTGAAGGGCACTTTGATCCCAGCTGCTGCTTCACCATCTACCATGGTAATCACATGGAGTCTCTGGATCTCATCACGTCCAACCCCGAGGAGGCCCGCACCTGGATCACAGGCCTCAAGTACCTGATGGCCGGCATCAGTGATGAAGATTCCCTTGCCAAGCGGCAGAGGACCCACGACCAATATCCTCCCTAGAATGTTAATTTTGAGCTGTGTGTGTGTGTGTGAGTGTGTGTGTATTAGACTGTGTTTTATTTTTTCCTATAATTTTGAGGCTTAAAGCTGCTTTCTTTTCTTTCCCCTTCTTTACCCCTAGCACCTTTCTGCCCCCTCCTCCCTCTCACCCCAAGTAGATGAATGCATAGAACATATAGAAACAAACTTGCGTGAACTCAGGAGCCGGCTTCTCTGGAGGAGATTGATTTTAGCTCCAAATTCTGAGAGGTCTCCAAATGTAGCTTAAAGTTTCCTAAGAGAGATGAGGTAGCTGGGCAGGTGTTTATTTGGATTAGAGAAAATCCTGCTTTGTGATCAAATCAGTTTAGTTTAACAAGTACTTTTTGAGTTCTAATTACATATGAGGTATTAAGCTCCTTCCTGCTTTTTCTCTCCCTCTTTAATTTATAGTTTGGAAACTGATTGATATGGAAGGGGAAGTTATTTTTTACTTCGTACCATTTACCTTCTCTAAATTGTTCAAGAAACTAGGGACTCATCTGAGTCTCCTTGATTAAGCCCATTCTCTCCAGAATCCTGTAGGTCCTGTAGTACTGACAAGATAAATAGTTAACATGCTTGGTCTGAAGGCACCTCTTCTGCTGGTATTGAGTGGCTCATGGGATATGGCCTTTGTGGCCTCAATTTCCTTCTCTGTAAAGTGAAGGCAATAGAGTTGTTGACTGCTTTGGTTCCCTTTTTCGCATTTCTTTTTAAAGATTTTATTTATTTATTTGTCTTTGAAAGAGAAAGAGAGAGCACAAGCAGGGGGAACAGCAAGCAGAGGGAGAAGCAGACTCCCCGCTGAGCAGGGAGCCCCACGTGGGGCTCAATCCCAGGACCCTGAAATCGTGACCTGAGCTGAAGGCAGATGCTTAACCGACTGAACCACCCAGGCACCCCCTTTTTCACATTTTGAATGGTCTTAAATTACACGTGCCCCTGTCTATGAAGGGAATAGGACTACTTCCTTGCTTTCATTGGAATGTATGCCCTAATTTTTTCCCCCAGAGTAGTGATAAATTTGTGCTGCTCTACTTATAATTCCTCACCCAGGGTATTGTTTGAGCAGAGTGGAAATATTCAGCCCATGAAAGGAATTTTGACAGTGTGAAGGTCTGAGCTGATGAGCCATGATGTTTTCATCAATATTCACAGCATGCAGATAAATGCACCTGGGATTCATAAGTGAACAGAACACAAACATAGAAACTAACTTTCTGTGCTTTATTCTGTTAATTTAGTTCTTAACTCCTTAACATTTGGTAAAAAACAAAAATACTGAATAAAATTGCTCTCTGGTATAAGCCACGGACCTGTACTAACAGTGTCCCGAACTAAAGGAATATTCATTTTTCATGAACAGGAGATGTGAGATGGGGCAGTTTTCAGGTTGGTTAATCCGTGGCTCAGTGATGTCATCGGAGACCCCGGTTCTGCCAGGCTCAGCCTGTCGGTGTGGTCCTTCAGTGGCTGCCCCTTCGTCAGACAGAGGTATAGCTACTTCAGGTAGCAGCTCCAAACACAGCCCTGTTCAGAGGGATCATAGTTTCTTCTCACAGACCTTTTTTTAAGAGCAAAGTAAAGACCCCCCTCAAAAGACTAAATCTCATCATTGGCCAGAATTGCTGTTACAGGCCCATTCCTAAACCAGTCTTCAGCAAGTTAAAGCAATTAACATAACTGGAGCTCTGACTCTTGCACTCTTAAAAACTGAAAGGGTTTTTGTTTATGTGGGTTTCATCTATTGATACTGTCATATTAGAAATTAAATTTAATTAAAATTAGAAATTATATTAGAATTAGAATTAGAAATTCTAATCATATTAGAAATTAAATTAAATTAATTTAATTCTCAAAAAATTTGAGAATTAAAAAAATACTTGTTAATTCACTTAAAATTATAAACTATTACATGTTAACATATTTTTATGAAAACTTTTTCAAAACAAATTAGTGAGAAAGAGTAGTGTTGCTTTCCTCTTTTGCAAGTCTCTTTAATATCTAGCTGAATAGAACACATATATTTTCCTACCTACTTCTGCATTCAATCTGTATGTTGTATTGTTTTGGTAGAAATACGTGAGGAAAATCTAGCCTGACACAGATAAATGGTTGGAAAAGGGGGGGGGGACCTCATGGTTGTGGGGATGCTTTGGATTATACTTTGGGGATGGCTGTACTAAGGCCAATCAAGATTCACCCTCTGCCTCCATTGGAGCATGTTTTTTTTTTTTTAATTTTTTATTAACATATAATGTATTATTTGTTTCAGGGCTACAGGTCTGTGATTCCTCAGTCTTACACAATTCACAGCGCTCACCATAGCACACACCCTCCCCAATGTCTATCACCCAGCCACCCCATCCCTCCCACCCCCCTCCACTCCAGCAACCCTCAGTTTGTTTCCTGAGATTAAGAGTCTCTTATGGTTTGTCTCCCTCTCTGGTTTCATCTTGTTTCATCTTTTCCTCCCTTCCCCTATGATCATCTGGAATATTATACAACCCTCAAAAAAATGAAATCTTGCCATTTACAACGACATTGGTGGAACTAGAGGGTATTATGCTAAGGAAATAAGTCAATCAGAGAAAGACAAGTATCATATGATCTCACTGATATGAGGAATCTGAGGAAATTGGAGCACATGGTTCTTGCATACCTGAACAAAACCGAGGTTTTTCAACAAGGAAGAAGGAAGGAAAACGGTTGTAGGGGAAGACAAGCAATTCTAGAAGTTGCTATCCTCACCCAGTTAACTAGGACAAGTTCACAATGTTCCAGAGCTTTTAGCCACTTATATAAATGCCTCTCATAAGCCCTGCAGTAGACCAGTAAGAGCAATGGGCATCTTGTTGTTTCTTTCTTTTTTTTTTAAAGATTTTATTTATTTATTTGAGAGAGAGAATGAGAGAGAGCAAGCACATGAGAGGAGGGAGGGTCAGAGGGAGAAGCAGACTCCCTGCTGAGCAGGGAGCCCGATGCGGGACTTGATCCTGGAACTCCAGGATCATG